CAACAAATAAAACTTTTCCACATTTTGCCAATTTAAGACAAGAACCTGGAACTCTTCTGACCAGGATTTTATGTGATAGAACAAAGCTAAGCTCTAACAGAGTGAAAGGAAAGAATGCAAACTCTTCAGAAAACCTTTATAATTAGAATTGTGAGAAATGATTCATTCAGTTATACTCAGCATCACCAATTTGATTTATGTTTAGCAGCAGCATCCACCTGATTACTGTGACATGTAGAATCAACAAAACACATATTCAGAACCTGCATTACAATATAAATGGAGCCTGAAACCAACATAAACATGTAGCATTACAAATAATAGATTAGAAACAGTGAGATCTGTCTGCCTGGGGGGGGGGGGAATTTATAACACTATGTCTAAGGGGATTAAAAATCTGAAAAGTGTCCCATGCATTTCTATTCAGCCCCCTTTACTTTGATACCCCTGGATAAAGGCCAGTACCTCCAACTTATTTTAGAGGTTACCAAATTATGAAGCAAGATAGAACTTTGGATGATTTCATCTCAACAAGCCGATAAATTATTTAAATTCATATAATTCAATCAAGATATTTATTAGCTATAAAAAGAAAAATAAGAAGGGCACCCCTCCAAATTGAATACATTAATCTAAATTAAGTATAATGTAAAATAAATAATTCATTGTTTACCTGTAATTAAAGAGTTAACTCTGATTTTTCCCTTAATAATTTTTAATTGACAAACCTTTATTAGTATTATGGGATTTAAACCCTTCTGTTATTGGAAACTCACTATTTTGTATTTTTCTTGTTTATTGGTGATGAGCCCCAAACCTTTGAATATGAAAGGCCTCTTTTTAATCTTTAGCTGTCACCATAGGTTTTCTATTGGGTTCAGATGTCTGGGCCACTATGTAACATTATTCTACCTTCAGTCAGAGGTTGGTTAGTTCGAAAAAAACTGTTATGATCAGAATCAGAATCAGAATCAGAATCAAGTTTATTGCCAAGTAGGTTTGCACTTACAAGGAATTTGACTTGGTGTTGTTGGTGCAGACAAAAAACAAAACAAAATAGCAAAATAAGATAGAATATATATAAAATATATATATATATATATATATATATATATATATATATATATATATATATATATATATATATATATATATATATATATATATATATATATATATATATACAGAAGCTATATACAAACAGTAGACTGTGCATTAATGTAACGCAGATAAACCCAAATCTAGCAGGGGTCTCAATCCTTTTTGGGCTTACACAAATTGGATGTTGAGTTTTGTGAACAAAAAGCACATTGAATACCAATGAACACAGCAGACAAGTCAGGAGTAAAGATATGGAGGAGTTTAAAACAGGCTTAGGTGATAAATGGGAAGCTGTCAGCATCTCCCTGAGCACTGTTTAATAAAGTATCTGAAAAAGGAAAACTGTAACTCTACCAACACATGTTCTTCCACCTAACCTGACAAAGAAAACATTAGTTAGAGAAGAAGCAAAGGGACCTGAATGAGCTTCAGAGATTCACAGCTTGAAGGATAGCTGTTTGATGCGAGCTTCACAAATCATGTCATTTTTTAAAAAGATTTTAAAATCTTACAGTGTACCACAAGCCTAGAAGTGGCACAACAAACTTCTATATTAAGGTGGTCTGAAATTTTTGGGCTTGAAGCAAATTGCAGTATAAGAAGTATTTTTTATACTGAACCATAGAGGTGGCAGCATCATGCTGTGGGGTTGTTTTAAACCAGCAGGTACAGGGAAGCAGGTCAGTAAAAGTAATGGATGGAGGGAAATACTAGCAGTAAACACAGAAGAGGCTAAGATGTAAAACAAATTAAACACACCGCCAGGCTCTGACTGCTTAAATCATACTGGCCCCAACACTGCCGAAGCGCCTACCTGTGACACTAAATAACTCAAGGAGCTCAAGAAGTAATGCAATGTTAACTATCTAAATGATGCATGCAGTATATATAACCCTTCCTTGTCATGCACATCCTTGTGATGGTTGGCATATGGTGTAATTTTCTATTTCTTCAAACTGTAAAATCCTTTTAACAAACTAAATTATAACAAAACAAAAATGCTTTCTTTAAACCAAACTATGACGTTCCTCTTATATTTGGTAAATTTGTGTTCGAACATTTTGCAAAAATATTGAGGAGCATGATGGGGTTTTACGTTGGGATCTCCTATGCTTAATTTAAATATTTATCATAAACTCCAAAAAAGATTAATCTATGCATCTTTGTGGCTCCTCAGTGGAGCAGTAAGAAGGTTCTGGGTTGGATTCTCGGCTCGGGGTCTTTCTGCATGGAGTTTTCATGTTCTCACTGTGCATGAGTGGGTTCTCTCTGGGTACTCTGGCTTCCTCCCGCAGTCCGAAAACACTGGCTTCTCTAAATTCTCCTTAGATGTGAGTGTGTGTGTGAATGGTTGTTTGTCCTGTTTGTCTCTGGGTTGCCCTGCGATGGACTGGCGACCTGTCCAGGGTGGACCCTGCCTTTCACCCATTGACAGCTGAAGATGGACACCAGCTCCCCTCGTGACCCCAGACGGGATCAGGCGAGATGGAAAATGGATGGATGGATGGATGGATGGATGGATGGATGGATGGATGGATGGATAGATAAGCCTGTAGGAGCACTTCCACAAAATGTTATACATGATCAAGTTGCATGTATACTTTGACTGTAATAGATGCTCAGAGAAGCAATAAAAGTGGGGCAACCTTACACCAAAGAACCAAAATTATTCTTTCCGCTTTAAGAGAAGCAGAAAACTTCTGACTCATGTGGTCTCATCAGATCAAGATATCCAACATACACCCCCGTGGCATTTTAAGGACTTAGCTTTCTTCTTTTATTCAAAAGCTGACCTCATCTTAATGTATTTTTCATGATAAAGTCAGGAACACAATGTCAGGGCTGTTTCATTTAATGTTGCACACTAAATGGATGTAGACTTTCATAATTCATGGCACACATGTTATGCTTTAAGTTCCTATATTTGGGAATGTTTATTAGTCCCACGTTGCCTGCAGCTAGAGCTTCGTTTGAACTGTGCCCATGTTCTGCAGAACAAACAAAAGCATTGCAGATCTTATGATTGAGAGGCTGATAATGAATGGAGATGTTGTAAAGTTACTATTTCCTGTCATCCAGGCCAATGGTTTTCCTCCCAGGAGTGCTTCACTGTTATTTTTAGGCTGGGAAAAGCTCATCTGCTGTTCCCTAGGTGAAAGGCCTGGCCCATGTGATCCTTTGCAGCACTCTTTTTACATCTTTTGTCTCTTTTTGTCTCTGCTGGCTATTTGACAGACTGGTTGTCTTTCTGTATCATCATCTCCTCTCCCTGAATATTGCACTGAACTTTATTTTTTGGAGATTAAGTAATTTTTCAATCCTTTCTTTAGAGAAAAGGATTATCATCGGACATTTGACAATTTATATCTTCTACAAGCATTCTCCTGTGTAGTTTATTTTTCACAAACCGTACACTGTACTCATTCCTAATCTTTTTTTGTGATGTAAGGGATGTGTGGGTGAACTGAACATACAAGAAGTAAGTGTCAGACATGAATGACGTCCTGGAGCACCTGTGTAACCTGAAATGCTGGAATCCTCACAGGGAGGTTTCAGATGTTTAATAACTGCTGAGCGACTGAGTCAGGTCGTGACTGGAACAAAGCCAGTTAAGATGTAATCTCCACAGCAATATGTAACTGCAAACACCTGAATGCCTTTAGAGAGAGCATTTATTAAAACATCAACACAGGAAGTTCATTATTGTGATACAAAATAAAAAACAGACAGCTAAATTAAACATCTGATGCAAGAGAATGAAAAAAACAAAACATCAGCCTTTAATTTGGCCAAGCTCTTTCAGCTCCTAGGGGTTGCAGCCGCGCATGCGCCATGGGGAACCCTGTTGCTTTCAAGTGCTCCTTATAAACCTCCGACTTACAAACTTCAAACCGATTCTAAAATTATGAAAGTTTCCGCTGAAAAATATGAGTAAATACCTCTGAGGTTGTTGATCTTAATGGATTCTATGAATTTTGCTCTTTTATATGCACATTTGAATGGGATGGATTCCAATTTTTTCTCAGTTTAAATTATTATTTTTCATAACTAGCCTAAAAAACCTACGAAAAGGAAAATTCCTTTAACCTAAAGAGAATTTTTTTGTGTGTTTCAAATGTACATAGTTTATTTTCTCTCTCTCTTGTTTTACTATAGTGTGATCTATATATATATTTATATATATATACAATTATTATTTTTTTGCAGCTCTTTATTTGGCTTCTGTGTTGTTTTTAAGTGCTCTAGATATTGTCTGACTAAAATATCAATTTCCTCTATGCAATGACTATTATTGAGGGAGTCATAATGAGGCCAAGTCACTAAAGAAAATGAGAACAGTTGGTGTTTTTGAAAGAAACAGGTTTAAGGGTGGTATGGTTTATACTAGATCTATACTCCATACTAGAAATGCACCTCAGTGTGGTTAGCAAACTGCCAATAAAAAGATAAATAATGAAGAGGTGATCGTTCAGAAACGCTGGGTGATTAATTTTTCAAAGTTTGTTGGCCAGAAAAAGTCAAATCGAGTATTTTTTAACACCAGTACTAAATCAATAATTAGCATAATATCTTCTCTTTTCTATTGTCGTTAGTATTGTTATTGTTGCGTTTGTTTTTCCTTTATTCTTTTATAAATTTTTATTTACTTACTTATGTATTTATTTTTTATGTACTTACTTATTGTATTTATTTAATGTACCTACTTATTTTATTTATTTATTTTTATGTACTTACTTATTTATTTTATTTATTTATGTATGTATGTATTTATTTATTTTTGTTATTTATTTTTATTTACTTAATTATTTAGAACAACTGGAAAAAGTGCTCAGAAAGATTTGCATACAATTTCCTGCAGCACTTGAATGCAGCACAGACGCCAGGCTTTCCCATCGCGGCAGAGTCCAGAGTGGGAATACAGGCTGAGCTCCACGCACGGACAGGACGCACCGGAATGCTCTGCGTGTTTCTACGTTTACCAAAGAGAGAAACTTCACTAAAGTAAGTTTTTAAACAAAGGATTAAAAGAAGAGGAGCGGGGTGGAAGAAGATATAACATGACTTCAGTAAAGGAGCGTTAAAGTTAAAGAGGATGTTTTGGAAACGGTGAGCGCAGCGTGTCCACTTCAAGGACTGAGCTCCGATTGGAGCGGTATGGCTTGATTAGTTGGAGCGGAGGAGACCTCGTGTTTCTGAGGAGAAGGAAAGTTTACTGCGCTTCTCTTGGATCTACTTTGTGAAACCCCCTCATTGACTGCCTGCTGTCTGAGCCCAGGTTCGGTTCAGGCTCCAAACTGTTGAACATGACCAACCCTGCGCTGAAGAAGAACCACTGGACCTTCAGAGTGACCGAATGCTCCGTGGGGAAAGATGCCCGTGGAGACCTGAACGTGTCTCTGCGCGGCGGCGCGGAGAACGGGGAGTTCTCCTACATCGGCCACATTAACGAGGAGCTGGTGTTTTACAGAGAGGGCAGACTGAACGAAGGGGAGCTGCTGCTGGAGGTGGAGAACATCTCCATCTCAGGATTACCTCTGTACGACGTGCAGACGCTGATAAAGAACTGCAAAAGTCCCGTGAAGTTGAAAACTGTGAGACCAGGTGAGTCATGGAGGCGGCCAGCTGGCTTTTAGGCAGGGGCGTAGCAAGAAAACTTATGCTACGTTCACACCGGACGCAGCAAGAGCAGCAAAATCGCGTCTGCGTTCACACCAGGCGCAGCAGAAGCAGCCAGTTTACATGCAAAGTCAATCGTTGATGCGCGTCAAGGCGCAGCAAAAGGTCCCACAGCGCTTTTTGAGCAGCAGGCAGCGAGTCTGAGCAGCTGAAGCAGCGCATTAGGGGCCTTTAACCATCTGACGCACGTGGCGTGGCAAAGGCTGCTGCTCGAGATGGAAAAATTTAATTTTTGCTGCTCGATGCGCTAAACCAATCAGAGAAGCTGATCTGGGAGCTGGCAGGGAGAGAGACACAGCGCTGATGATACAGAGCGCTATGATCACTCCTCTGAAACAGTTTATTAAAGCCTAAAATAACTTAAAATGCAGAAATCTGCCGGCAGAACGTGGGTGCATTATAAGGGTGGCCAGGCAATAAACTACGGAAGAGGATTAGGGCCAAAAAAATAAAATGAGAAAAATCTCAGAATTCTGACAGCTAACAAACATGTCGGCATCAAACCGTACCCTTGTCTGTTTTAAAGACTAAACTACCTCTCTGGTTTTAATCACCTTCTTCTTTTCCATTAATTAAATAATATCTTTGTGTTAAATAGGATCACGGAAAACGTCGCCTAACCGATGTGTTACTGGCCCTCCCAAATAATACGTCTTTGTCAGTGAAGCTGAGTGCTCCCACATCTCTTCCGTCATGGTGCCCATCAACATTAAGATACAAAATTCTGAGATGAAAGTCAGAATTCCGAGAAAAAAGTCACAATTCTGAGAAAAACAGAATTCTGAGAATTTTTCAGTGGCCCTAATCCTCCTCCGCAATAACCAATGTACACTGAGGGGTGGCCGAAAGCGGATAGGCACCAGAACCTCAGGGTCAATCTAAACAGTTCCAACAGGAAAATAAACAAGCAAAACATCCATATTTTCTAAATAAAGCAAACTACAGCCTTTACGAACAAATAGGCACATATATTTACACATCTGTAATTTCGAGGTAAAAGGTATAGTGGAGAAAATTCTTTCACTTTTGAGTTCTGGGGCATAAATCTTTTCCATTGTTGTTACTTACCTACTTGTGTCAATAAACATTCTGCATAAAATTTATATTTACAAGTAGATATTATGTAGATATATACTAATATCTACATAAATTGATTATTTGATAAGTTTTTTTATTAAAATTCTTAATCTATGATTTCACTGAAGACTCCCCGATGACTTGAAGAGACACATTTTCTCTTTACCCCATATAACACCAAATCTAGTTCTGAAAAGAATATAAATTCTGTACTTATCATCTTTCATGTTAGTATATTGATGTGTATAATTGCCCACAAAAAATTTAAATGTTTTGAATATCCCACTAGAGAGTATTACTGCTGCCACCATCTGTATTAGAGGGGAAAAAATGGTAGGGGTGGCAAATGATTGGCTAATGGTGGCTATGGCCACCCCTGGTCCCCCATCTAGCTCCGCCCCTGCTTTGAGGGTTAATTTGTTTAATAAACAATGATAGGATGAAGCAGACTCAGGTGTCATATGTTCCTAAAAAGTCTGTCTTTTGGCTGAGGAACCTAACCTTAAAGCAGGGGCGCTGCTGAGGGTGGGGAGGTTAAACGCGGTGGCCCCCATTAACCACACAGCCTCATCTGTGTTGATAGAGCATACAGATATTAATAAAAACAAAAAAACACAAATGGCAGGGTTTGGTAATTATTTAACAGAGAAATTTGACAGGGATATTTCATCTTAAATTAACATCTTATAAACCTATATATATATATATATATATATATATATATATATATATATATATATATATATATATATATATATATATATACTTGAAATTGCAAAGTTAGCATAATAATAATAATTGAACTTTATTGATCTCACATTGGAGAAAATTCCCTCTGCATTTAACCCACCCCCTTGGGGAGCAGTGGGCTGTCATTGTGCGGTTCCTGGGGAGCAATCAGGGTTTAAGTGTCTTGCTCAGGGACCCAGATTGCAGGCTGTGTTCATAAACCGCCTGGATGTACGAGATCTTGCCCAATTTGAACCAAAGTCTATTGATCTCTTTGGCCATTTATCTAAAGGAAAAACATTTATTTTTTTTTTACCCATAGATGACCATCCTAAACTGCCAGATTGGGAAACATCCCAACCTGGCAACAACGCACGTAAGATGGGGAAACATTAGCCTTTAGATGCAAAACGCCCTCATGCAGCGCAATATATTTTAAATAAATAAATAAATAAATAAATTTAAAATTTGCCAGATATAATAATTTGGTTTAAAGAAAGCATTTTAGTTTTATTATAATTCAGTTTGCTGCAAGGATTTTACAGTTTGAAGAAATAGAAAATGACATATCAACCGTCAAAAGGATGTGCATCACAAGGATGGGCTATATATACTGCATGCATCATTTAGATAAGCAACATTGCTTTACTTCTTGAGCTCCTTGAGTTATTCACTGTCACAGGTAGATGCTTTGGCAGTGTTGGGGCCGGTATGATTTAAGGAGGCCTGGCCCTCGCACGCTGAAATGCACAGTCCGAACCAACACTTTCCCACCAATGGTGAAACCTATTCTTTTTATGTAGAACTCCAAGAAATAAAACAGTAACTTTGTTGTTATATGTTTTAGCTTTCCTTGTTTTTTTCTTTTGACATTTAGCCTTGCTTGACCCTGAGAGAAAATATGGTTTCCCTTAAAATCTCCCATTCTTTTCTGACTTTGTTTCACCTAACTGCTCCTGAAGTTAGCCTCACTCTTTCAATACAAAAAAGGGTATTTTTTTTATTTGACCCGCTTGTTTATATTCCGGTGCTGTCATTGGTCGGGATGTTTTTCTTAGTTTCCAACCACTTTAACAGGGATGTGAGGCCCCAAGTCTTAATTTACTTTGTATTTTATTGTTTATTTTTATTTTTTCTTGACATTTTAGCACTTTTAAACCCCTAATTCTCTCCTGGTCACACCACCTCTCTATACATTAATGCTCCATGATGGAGTTCAAGTATAAATTCTTGTACAGGTTTCTGGTTCAGACCTTTAGAATATCCGCCATCTTTCTACCCTGTAACACTACCGTACCAGGGTCCTGGCTCCCTGCTTCAATGTTAAATGTTTTTCTAGCTAAAATATTGAAGGAATACGCACACACTGACCTGTTAGACCAGTGCAGCCACTGGTTAAATGAGTCACTTATCAGTTTGGAAGCAGAGTTTGCTGTTATATTTTTGGCCCCCAGAGGAAGTGCCAGCTGTAGAGCACAGGTGGGGAAAATAAACTGCTGATTGTTGTTTCAGGTTCTCCTTTTGTGTTTCCCAGCACCACCCTTTTCAAAAACCGGAAACATTCACTAAGCTTCCTGAACTTTATGCTTACTTGTGTTAAAACAGTTTATACTGAGAACAATGGTAGGCTCCCCCCCGCCCCCAAGCGCCACACATATTTCCCCTGAACTCTGTGTCTGCTCCTCAAGCAAACCTGACTGGCGACATTTCTAATCCACCTTAACAGCAGACGGAGTATCGTCAAGTTTCCCAACAGGGCAGCCAACATCAAACCATCACTGGCCAGTCTGGCCAGTTCATGGTCGGCGTCATTAAGCAGAGCAGGGAAAGTCTGACATTGAGCCACTCAGACAGCCTCACGGTCGAAAACAGAAAAAGACTAACAGCTTTACAAGGACAATTGCACATATTTATAACCTGTGAAAGCTGCCAGCGATATCCGGCAGACTCAGTATGTCGTCGCCTGTATCATAAGCTTAATTATCTTCTGTTGTTTTGATTGGGAAAGGAAGGATGGTAATGAGGCTTTGTTGTTACCTGGATAGTTTTTCCGTTAAAACTCTCTGCAAGTATGCAGAGGCCACTTGGGCTACGTTCACACTGCAGCCTGAAGTGACCCAAATCAGACTTTTTTTTTTTTTGCCCATTTGTGACCTGTATCTGATCTTTCCATGGCAGTCTGAACAACACAGATCCGAGTTTTTCCAATGCGACCCAGGCCACTTGGTTATGTGGTCCTGAATCCGATACGAATCTGATCATTTCTAATGCGACCTGTGTCACATTCATCCGACCTGAACGGCATTCATACCTGACAATGGTCACTATTCTGCGTCTTGCTTTGAAGAAGCAACAAAAAAAACAACAACCATGGTGGACAATGATGTAGAGAGCAGTATTTATGTTTAACCATCTTGAAAAGATTGTGTTTTTATGGTTGGGAAAGATCGATAGATGTGCTTCGGCACTACCATCCATGTCCTGCTCTACTGCGCATGCGTCACATTCAAGTTGCATATATTTGGAAATGTGAACAGCAATGCAAAAAAATTGTATTACGCCAAAAAAAATGGGAATTGAGAATCAAGGCCTGCAGTGTGAACGTAGCCTTAGTGTTTAACAACTCCTCTGAGCTGCTGGATGATATGGAGCGCTCAAGTTTAAGATAATGTTTCATCTTTCCTCACAAATAGCTTGATGGCCAGTAAATCATTTATTCTAGATTCAGTTAGCTTAAAGGTTTCGGGGAATTTCAGCTTGGTCGGACAGGGTTAGTGTTGCAGAGGCTGCTAAATACAAAGATAGAGGTGTTACAGCAGGTGTTTTTAGGTATTGGCTAAGAAGGCCTTAGCTTACACTAGGGGTGGGCGGGTCTTAGGTGAGGCTATGCTGCCAAATTCATCTTCGTTTGAAGTCCCAGCTCACATTGAGAGCTGTAGGAAGATTATTAGGTAAGGGTCCCTGCACAGTCTGGGCAATTAGATTTGGTTACTTGGTCTGGATACGTCAAGAAAGAGAAAGCGACAATTTATAATATTTTAATAGTTGCAGGACTTATCCTCTATCATCTTGTCTGAGAGATAGATCTGGTTGTCTATACGTTTGTCCATCTAACCAGT